TCTCTCTCAGATACCAAATACATTCAAATGAGGGTGAAAAAGATTTTAGTAGGAAAACATATGATTATTTGCCAGGCCGTGACCCCTCCATCCATGCATTAAGTTGCACTCTTGTCTCTGAAAGCTTGCCTTGGAGCACATGAGGATGGGCTGCAAGTTATAGTGCCCCATCACAGCCCCACAAAAAGGTCCCCCTGGTCTGTCTTACAGCAGGACATCAAACTGGTATCAGGTATCTCATACTAGGGGTGTCCACAGGCGAACAAACTGCCAGATGTATGTATGGCTCCTGCAGGTTGTTAGTAGAGTAGCCAGAACACTGATAAACTCGAAACCTCCCTCTAAATTCCTTTGCAAGCCAGCTCTAACAGTTGAAATTGGCTGCAATCCTCAACCATAATATTTGATATCCTTTCCAAGAAATGCACAATTAACTACAATAGCTTTTGATATTCAATATTGAGGGGAACAAGCACTGCTGTTGCCTGGGCTATGATTCCACTCTCTGGCAGACTCCTGATCAATGGAGCATAGCATGTGAACCTCCAAGATGATTAATTAATTTAAAAAAAAACCCAAATGCTACAGTAACTCTCAAAAGTTAACAAGGGCAGAAAAAGCAAAATTGCACATGGGAAGCAAAATAAACTTCAGAACAACAAATCATATTTGTTGTAAAAAATACTCACCAATTTTATCTTTGCACATCCATGGAAGATTCAGATTGTTAGCATAAAAGAGTAGAATATGGTACACAATTTTAGAAATTCAAACTTTATGCAGCCCTGAGCTGGTAATACCACTTCTTCAGAGAGCAAATAAGTTATTGTGAGAGGTGTAGAGAGCTCTACATCCAAGTGACAGGTCTTCATCCAACTAAATAAGAAAATGCTGCCAAATCTATTTCTATAATCTCAATGATCTCATATGTTTTTGTTAAAAATATTAAATAAAATCAGAAATGAAAAGTGTCCTATTTATCCTATGCTAAAGTAATAAGAGGATTTAATTTTTTAATATTTTTGAAATGAATAGTATGCTAGAGGTATATAGTAAGTTTTATAAACTACAGTATGTATGTCAGAAGAATAATCTCACTGAAAGATTGCCCTATTATGCTTAGTTGTTTTCATTCTCTTTGCAGCAGGGAGCCATAATCCTGCGCCCACACTTCTCTGTTCCAGACTTCGCACAAACACACAGCAAAAGAGAGCCTTGGCCCACCGACTTTACTATCCAAGGTCCTACAGGGCTGAAGTCAGGAACAGTGTTAAAACACATTGCTAGTCTAGAGGATTAAAATCTTAAAGCCAAATCTCTTAATATGTTAGGGATGTTGTTTCCACCACAGTGAATTTCATGATTACAAAAGTTATACATGCTGCTGTTTCTTACATTTTTGGTTATTAAGAAAAAGGAAAAAGAAGTGCTAGAAATTATCTAAGCAGCATACAAATACCCAAACAGGAGCACGGGACTTGCACTCAGCACACAACCATTTGCAGCAAAAATTGTCTATTAACAATTCAGTTTCTCCTGCACGCAAAGCTCTAAACATGGGAGCTCAGCTGCATGTACCATTGCAGCCACTGAGTTAGTTTCAGACTAATTCTTTGCTACCAGAGATACCAGGCCTACATACCTTGTCCTCATGCACTCCTCATAACAGAATAAAACATCCTGGCAGCAGTGTCACAAATTACTCATGAGTGGTGGTTTCCTTCCTACGCAAGCCAATTCTGGAAACACACCCTTTGGTCTTGATGTTATCCTCCTAGCGCTGTACTCAAATGACAGGAGCCATTCATTCATTCATTTCTTCACAAGGGAGGAAGATGTGAGTCTATAAACTCAGAGAGCTGGCCAGAGCCCGTAAGGCCTGATTAAGGTTTTCTAGGCTTTGGGAATGAAGCCAAGAAAAAAGCCATCAGGTTCTGATGTCTTTTCTTCGTAACATTTTGTTCAGGTTTAGATGAAATGCAACCAGAAAGAGGAAAAAAAAAAAAAAAAGAATCCCCGTTTCCCTTTTCCTGCTTGCATTCCCTATGGGCACTCTGGCAGCTTGACAAAATAGTAACTGAGAACAAGTGCTGCAGGGCCAAGTCCCGGCTGCAGCTGGGCTCTGCACGGGGAGTGCTGGGGAGTTGCTGGGACACCGAAGCGAGTAGCTGAAGTGCTACACAGACAGCCTGGCATTTGCACCCTTGATTCCTACAATACTCTGCATGGGACGCTCATTTTGGGTTTAGCACAGAGAGAGCAGGTGCTCCAGCAGCATTCAGTGCGGCAGGAGAGCAAGCAGCCTCCCCGGGGGTAGAGATGGCTCCACCAGACTCTTCCCATGGCACCAGAACAGCCTGGTGACAATGTGTGGTGTTAGAACTGCTGCAGTTATATGGGTGCATATTTGGCTTTACCTTTGAGCAAGAGCAGAAAAACTTATTCAGAAATTTTGAATTTACTGTGAATATTCAGCCCTCGAGTGTTGCGCTTTTTTTCTTAATTCTGAAATTTAAAGCTGTTCTTGCGTCTTAAGCACATAGGAACTGCCACCTTAGATCAGACCAAACACCCTTCTCGCCATGTATCTTCTCTCTGATAGCAGCCAATAACAGACACCTATGGAAAAGTAAAAAATCCAGGGCAAGCTCTATAGCTCTACTTTAGCCTCCAAAGTGGCAAGAATAAGCAGCCTACCTGATATTCCCTCAGTGGACACACCATGGACTCACACAGAAGGATAACAGGGAATTTCAATTTGTACCCTACTCCTTTCCTAATAAACCCAACATTCAGTTCTCCCTTTGGAGAGTTACTGGGGGTTGAGCTGGTCCTGTCACAGAAGTATCTTTTATAACACTGAGAAACGGCTGTTAATCAGTAACTGTCAACTTGGAGCCAGTATTATATTTGTAAAGTTAGGACTGTTTTGCCCTGTGTGCACTCGTTTATTCCCATCCACATTAACTTCCTTTGCCATTTTGACATCAGTTGTTCAGTGTCCCAAGAATGTTCTGCAACTCCTTGCAGGCAGCCCTCCTCCTTTACTATGCTAAAGAGATCAGGTCATCATCACCAAACTTTCTGTCCCTCTTCACCCTTTTCTAGATCATTTCTGAGCATGTTAACAGGTTGAGATCTTTGCAAGGACCTGCTGGTAACCTTTTTGCACTATGAAAATAACCATTCATGGTCACCACCTGTTAGCTGTTGATGAGAAGAGTTTCTCTACAAACTCAGAGCTGTTTCGTGTCTATAGTAGTTTTTGTTGAGTGATCTTGTTGGATCTCTCTGCCCTTATACTCACTGATACATTCAAAGGACTCTAGCATTTTGTAAGACATAACTCTTCCCCCTCATACTGCAATTATCCGTGTGCCTCCTAATTCTTTTTTGTAACAGTTGCTATTAATTTTCCCATTAGATATGTCAGGCATACCAATCTGCAGATGCCAGGTTGAAGTCTATTAATAATGTTGTGTAGGTACTCACCTCTAATCAGGATGAACAGAAAATCTTGCAAGGAGTAAGAATTAAAATAATATCTGTATCCTCAACTTTGAAACATTAATATTCTTTCAGCGTTGAATCGTTTTGTGTGCATGCATGCACGTATGCGTATGTATGTATAGAAAATTTTCAGGCCATTGACCAACTACACATCCCACTACAGAAATGGAAAATCAGCCTCCAGCCTAATCAAACCAATGCTCAGGAATCTTTTGCTGTAAAGCTGACATTGAACACAGTTTGACAAAAGAACTAAATTACGTTTCATTTATGTAAAACCCGTAACTACAAATTCTTACTGTTTCAGTAATGCTTTAATTTTTTTTTTCCAGTTCATTTCCTTATCTTTTAAGTGTCAGACTTCTAGGCAAATCCTCAAACTGGGGCTTGCCAAACCTATTCCAAAGTTGCAGCACAGAAGAAACTCACGATCACAGCAGCTAGCACACCTCTGCAGCCATCCAGGAAAAACACATATCCGTCACATGTCTCTTCTGTCTGAATTTCAGCGCAATCTGTTTTCCTGCATTTGTATTTCCACTGGGAAGGCAATAAATGCTTGGACTTCCCAACAATTTACCCTACCCTATATCCCTCTCAAAACCACTCTATCACCACTGGGGAATTACACAACAGAGAAAAATAAAGAAAAGTAAAGCTGTCTGCATCCAACAGTCTCCACCTCACTGACTGCATCAGCAGTCCCTTAGCAAACTTAGTCTTTTAAAGCATATTACTTCCTGCATTGATATAAAAACAGACTAGTTTTCAACTTCATCTGCTTGCACATTTTTCATGTGGATAAGCATGGTAGTTACATGCCATGCATGCTTACACAATTCATCTATTATTTTTTTTTATATTTGGTAATCATCTCCTTCTAAAGGGCTTGGAAGATACAGTGTTTGTCAATAAATAAAAGTAAAATGTTCAGATTACTGCCCATTTTGGTTTTAATAAAGATGTCAACAATATTATTATTTGAATCAAGAAATATTTAGTAAAATTAATAGAATTTGGTTGGTTTGTTTCTAATATGAGGAAAAACAAAAATAGTCATGGATAATTACTCTGCTCTTTATTATTCAAAAGCATTATTCCTATTCTGTTCAACACACAGAAAGTTTAAGGAATTTCTATTAACCAGTGACTACTAGCAGATTGATGTTGACCTAAAGTATTTCTGATAAAGCTAGAAGAGGAGATATCTTTGAAAAGACTGACAATGTACCAATGAAGTACAATAAAGATGTATTTCTAAAGGACTGTCACTGTACATGAACTAACAATTACAGGACAAATACGTGAATTTATGCATCTCCACCAGCTTTGTAAGCATATTTATTTTAATGATGGTTACTGGCCTTTTCTAGCCTCTGGTAAGAGCCAATTCCCAGCTGAGAAGCTCCAAACTTGGTCCTACCTCTGGCAACATAAATGTGAACTGATAACATTCTAAAAAGAGGGAAGAAACAGCAAGGGAACCGCACCTTTGCAACGCTCACAGCAAGCTCCTCTCTGCTTAATGACGAGAGCACAGTCCTTGGAGAGCGTCGGGCACTTCTCCCTTTTGCACGTCACTTCCTTATTCTGAGGGGGGGGGGAAAAAAAGACAAAAGATATTGCAAGCAAACCAAATCCACAGGTACCATTTCTTGCAATTCAGAAAATAAAATGTGAGGCTAGCAACCTGCTCTTTTGCTTCAGGAGCGGTCCTTGTGATTCAAAGCATCTTTCTCCCCTTGCAGGAACGCAGTATAAAACAGTCTGAATTATCCAGGAGCCCAAGCAAATGGTGTTTAAACTTCTCTTAGACTGTAATTCATGACTGCTACCCGGCATAGTAGAGAAAACATGCCCCACTTGAAGAAATTCAATTTAGTTAAGTGAATAACTAGCCACACAACGCGCTTGTTAAAATCTCCTCAGGGTCTTGAGCTGCTGCCCCATGAACTGCACAGCTCAGGACTCGTTTCTCATGGTGACAAGAGGACAGGCACTGAGGAAGAGGTGGCAGCCTCAGAGAAAACAAAATTCTCTGCCACTGCTGAAAACCATTTTTAGCTAGCGGATTTACCTAGTCGCCTAGAGGTCCTTCAAAAGAGGCTACTAAACAGTATACTGGAAAAGAGACTACCGTAACTCATCTTTCTCCCCAAAATGCTGAGAATTGATGCATTATAGCATCACCTTCCCATGGCAAAAAGCCAGCGATGGCCAAGGCCAAAGGGCACACTGACCGCATGAAGGAACATCGATAGAGGATGTGTGACAGCGGGTAGGAGAAATGTTCCATTTGTAGCCTCACTTGCCCCCGTGGTGTCAACCCTTCAGCTTATCCCTGCCTTTAAACACGGGCAGAAAACAAATACTTTCGGGGTTTCTTGCAGCAAAATTTTGCTGCTTGAAATTCCTGACTTAAAGTAGCCCTCTGAAGTGACCTCCACCTATAATTAGTAGCTCAGTTCATTAAGTGACACAGGTGGCCATTTACTAGATGCAAGCACCCACCTCACCCAATCTTATGACTTAATTAGAGGCCAAAAAATCAAAGGGCTAGAAAAATGTAAATCATAAAACTAAAGGAAAAGAAACTGTGCTTTCCAGTCTTTTTCTTTTGCTCCCTGTGGCCTTATTCAAGGTGCCTGTGAAGGATAACACGCAGCTTTTATTACACTCCAGCTCTTTGTCTAAAATCAGAGGTTTATTTTCTTCAAAGTCACTGCCTGATCTGATGGGAGCTATAAAAGCACTTCGATCTTATCAGTGTAAATGAGGAATCACTCTCCCCAAGCCAGTGTGAAATCAGCAAATGAGAATCAGGCCCTAAAGCGCAGCTGCAGCCACACAAACGACTACTGTAAAAAGCCAGGTCAATGCTACGTGCTGGCTGCTCTGCATCACTCCAGCATCACTGGCCAACCATAAATGCAATTTAACTGGCGAGTTAAACTGAATTTACGGCAGGTCTGTAGCTCTGGACTGGCACAAAGCAGCCACAGCACAGCAGTGCAACTGGCTCAGCAAGAAATTTTTAGAGCGCAGGGTGAAATCCTGATTCCCTTTACGTGAACATAGTGCCCCCGCCTTTGCTGCCTTAAAGCCTGTTGAAAGGCAGCAGAATTAAGTTCACCGTATCGACTGCACACGGTCTGTATTTTAAAGGGTTCTGCTAAGATCAGATTCTCTTTGATGAGAGTTTGCTCAAGGAAAGATTTAGTAAGCCTAGTGGCCCCATTGCCTTTATCTGCGGGAAAATCTTCTGCATGGTGAAAGTGGGTTTGAAGGAAGGGCAAAACCCAGGTTAGAGTATGTTCCTTTGGAGAACATGATTTACCCAGCCACAGCACGCATCGTGGACCTCTACGAGATGCAAGATACACGGCGCCCTTCTGGGCCAAGCTAGCTGGGCAGGACCCACATCAGGGGGTCCAGCAGGCAGCTACCCATCGGACTCCCTCTTCCAAGGCTGAAATCATTATTACAGACGGCAGGGTGAGGGACCAGAGGTAGAATACAGCTCCGTATTTCTTTTTGTTCCCTGATTCCCAGGAGACTCCTGGAGCAAACATCTCATGCAGCCCAGCTTCTCACGCTCTCCTCTGAGCTCTGGCTGCCTCCCTCTGCCCTCAGGTACATCCTGCCATGGCTGCTTCTTGTCCGCGATACAAAATGTTCCCAAGAATGACCCCAACGCACATATTTCAAACATGAGCTACTTGCTAGTTACCTTTCCTAACTAGAAGTCTCCTGTTTGGCCCAGGTCACTTCAATCAGAAATCTTCTCTGCCAACAAGAAGTTTGGTGCTATTGAGGCAACCCCGGGCGGGCAGCCGATTTGAATCTTACTCTTCTCCCCTTATCACCAGCAACGCTCAACCCCAAACTCAGGACCTGAATTACAGGTAAGGATGGAAATAACTGGAAAGAGAAAGCAAAACTGAGCTGGGCTGTAGAGCTAGGAGCTTTCCTGAGCGGGAAGACTTTGGACTTCATGTCCTGGTACCAAGGGCTGTTTTACATTAAGCAGCTGTTCTACTTAAAGCAAGTTCGTGGCCCACAGTGCAGCGATGGGAACTGAAGGGTTCCCCCCGTGGAGGGCATCTTGAGCAGTAGGCTACAGATTCACATTTGCTTTCTTTTTCCCAGTTGACCCTGAACTACTTGCTGCTCAGTGGCCCAGCTTCAGCACAAGAGGGGCTGGTTTCTCATGCTCCCAAAAGCCACTGGTCCTGACAGCAAGGATGCTTGCGGAGAGAGCAGGAGGTGAATCTTTGAATTGCCTCCAGACATGAAGGGCACCGAACCTGGATCACCATCTCAAGTGTGAGTTGTTACAACATGGTGCTAAAAGGTGGGCAGGAGGTGCTACACTCACCACCCCTCCTCCCCCCTTTTTTTTAATCTTTTTATTAAAGAAAAGAGCCAGATCAGCTCTGTCCCTTGGAGAAGAAGCTGCATCCTCCTGCCTTTAGGGACAGGTCTGTGTATCCCAGGTAAACAGAGCCAATGTTTGCCAGCAGGAGAAGGGCACCTAAGCACTTTAGCAGGGTGGGATTTGCAAAGCTCACGTTCCTCCTCTCTGGCTGGTATTACAGGCAAGCCCCAGACGGCTCCGAGAGTGGCTGTTTGAGATGCCACCCCGAGGTGCCTAACTCCCTGCCATCAAGGCTGGGCTGCTCTTCCAGGGTGCAAGGTGCAGCCCCATGCCAGACTGCAGTCCCCACCACTCCTTTTGGAGCTTTTTGCTGAGTATGGTACAGCTGTATGGTACTGCCACAATGGCAACGTACTGCCCTGGCATAGTCTTCACAGCAAAATCCCTCTTCTACTATGCACAGATGAGCGTAGCCCTGGGGAAACGCATCCAAGTGCCTCTTGCTGCTGCTAGGACCAGATTTAATCCCCAAATTCTTTCCAAAAATCCTGTTGTTTTATCCCAGTGCTGCATCTTGTGGAAAACTAGGCCAGCAGATGTGGAGGAAAGGGTTAACGTACCATGCTGATCAACCATAGGACAGCAGCAGATAAGAGAGGGCTGGTAAATCATTGTTTAGTCTATTGCAGTCAGGCATTATTCAGTGCAGATCAAGGCCCACTGGGTGTAGAAGTACAAAGATAAGACAAAGAGCAATTGTCATCAGGAGGTTTTTTTCTTTCCCTTCGCCCTGTCGCCCAAAACACTGCTTTTAATGTCTACTGTCCATCTGCTTCTTTCGATTTGGCTGCCCCTTCCCTCCCATTTCACAAGGGCAAAGCACAGGGCAAGAGCAAACGGACTTCAGCAACAAATTCTTTCCTTCCAAATACGAACCCTCCTACCCCCCATAATCAGAACATTTCATTACCTGTCCCAACCACAGATTTAAAAAGTCACTAAGTAGCTGCACGCAGGAGAGCTGTATTACCAAACCTCCATCTGCGTTGTCAACAGCGCCTCTGGAGTTGTTGAAAGCTCTCAGATACTCCGATTTTTGCTGTTCTTAAGAGAAAACTTCTTAGACGGCAACATTCAGAAGCCAACAGTTATGGGAGGGTAGGGGATTTTTTTTTTCCCTTTTGTTTAAAGGACATGCACTCTGGCACCGAGAAGTGCGGAAGAGACACATGGCTCATAAATACATAAAACCGTTTGCTAAATCAGAAACCTGGGAGTCAGTCAAAATCCATAATAGGATCCCAGGATTCATAATAAATAACTTTTAATTATAGTCCTGCACAATAGTTATTTTAAACAGATGGTTTATAGATTCACATCTGGGATTTTTTTTTTTTTTAATTTAGTGCTCAGGCGCACACACACACAGAAAGGGAGAGAACCTCAGCTACGGTTTTTATTAGTGTTGGAAAAATACGTACTTTTTCAAAAGAGGTCAGTCTGATCCAGAACAATGCTGCCACAGCTGACGCAACTCCCCAGTCAGCGCTCGGCTCGGCAAAGGGTTCGCACTGCAATCCCAGACCCCCTTGGAAAGGAAAATTTAGGGAAGTGCTGGAGGATCACCCCAGACTCCTCTCGTGCGCTCACTGAGCCCAGCTGCTGGAGAACTCGCGTTTCAATGCGTTTGGGGAAAGCTCAGAAAGTTTTGTTGGGTGCCCGGGTTTCTCCCCTCTCCCACGCTTTGCCAGTGGGAACCAAAGGTCTAACTTGGCATGCAAAGGTGATGTCAAATTGCCACAGAGGAGAGATACACTAACCAGACCTAATACCAGTGCTACTGCTTCATCTTACTGTTAGTACAACCTCCTCTCAACAACATTTGTTCACCTTCTACACACACCTTGTATTTTCACCTTCCATCAAAGAACTCCACACAAAATAGCCCATTTTGGTAACAAAATATATCAAACTAACGGCCTTAAACTCATGTGGTACAGTTAAATAAAATGCCAACATGAAAAGAAAAAGGAAAAAAAAAAAAAAACTACTAAAAAGAAATTTGACTATTTGGCAGAGGTTGGTTGCGCTTTCCAACCTGGTTTTGGGTGGGGGGGGGGGGGGGGTAAAAAAATAAAAATCAGGAGTCCGCATCATTTCTTCACAGCTGCACCAGGGAGTGCCTCCACCAGCGGTACCCCAAGCCCACTGT